GCAGCGAGAGGGTGCTAACCCTGCGGGGGTTTCGCCGTGAGGACCATGGACAGTACCTGTGCCAGGCGCAGAACGCGCTCGGGGCTGGCTCGTCGCCTGATGTCACCCTCCACGTCCTCGGTGAGTGCCAGGGAACAGCGGCCAGGGCAGCGCTGGAGCGGGGACAGGGGCTGAGGGGAGGAATTCCTGCCCAATATCCACCTCAATCTCCCATTTTCCAGGGTGAACCCATTCCCCCTTGTCCTGTCCCTCCACGCCTTGTCCCTAGTCCCTCTGCAACTCTCTTGGAGCCACTTTAGGCACTGGAAGGGGCTCTAAGGTCTCCCTGGAGCCTTCTCCCGGCTGGACATTTCCATCTCTTCCAGCCTGGCTCCATGGCAGAAGAGCTCCAGAATCATGGAATGGTTTAGGCTGGGAGGCACCTTAAAGCCCATCCAGTCCCACTCAAGGGGCAACTACCACTAAATCAGATTGCTCCAAGTCCCATCCAACCTGGCCTGGAACAATTCCAGAGATGGAGCAGACACATTTGCTCTGGGCAACCTCTTCCAGTGCCTCATCACCCTCATAGCCAGGAATTCTTCCCCAAATCCCATCTAAACTACCCTCTGGCAGCTTCAAACCACCTGTTGGCACAGCTGTGAGCACCAAAAGGGGAAACACTTGGTATGAGACCCTTCAGCCTCCACCATGCCCCAGCACAGGCAGAGATGGGGACCAGGGGGTGGTGGGACAGAATTCCCCTGAGATAAGGGGTGGATATGAAACCCCAAGTTCAGGAAACCCCATCAGGGAAGGGGATGAGGATCCTCCACCAGATCCTGCATCTGAGACCAGCACCAGACTTGACTCCCTGTATCAGAGTCCCACGGAGAGTATCTCCCCCCAGAATGAGCCCAGGGGTTCAGTCTGCTCTGCTCAGAGCCTCTCAAGAAGTGAAGGACTCCCTGAACCCCCCATGAATTTTGGCCCTGGGCCTTTGCACTAAAGCCAGAAGGTGACCCCCAACTGACAATGAGACAAACCCCAACACTTCCCACCTCTGTTGTCATTCTTGGAGGACAGAAGGTCTCCTGGAGCTCCCACCTGCCCCAGGACTCTGGGCTGGGGGTCGTGTGTGTGTATGTGTGTGTGTGTGTGTGTGTGTGTATTGATCTCCTGCCCCCAAGACCATCCTGAACCACCTTCTACATCTCTCAGCTGCAGAGATCTCAGTGAGCCCCTCAGCTGAGGTGCAGGAGGGGACTGCCACCACCTTGTCCTGTGATGTCCCTGGCCAGGAGGGCCAAGACCTGAACTACACGTGGTACAAGAACAGTGCATGGCTGAGAGAGGGCACATCCCACACCCTCCTCTTCCCTGGGGTGGCCTCCAGTGACTCAGGCTACTACTCCTGCAAGGTGACCAGCAGCTATGGCAGTGACACGTCCCAGACCATCAGCCTCAGTGTGACATGTGAGTGTCCCCCTGCTCCTGACAGCTGGGACACCAGAGGTGGGTCTCAGGGACTGGGAAAACCCCCAAAATCAGAGCAAAGCCTCTTCCCAAGCTCCTCAGGGGCAGCTGGAAGGAGGGTTCAGCTCTCCTGGGTGAAATTTGAGTGTAAACACCACACTTTCTGGCCATGAGCCATGTATGAAGGTGTTGGGAGGAGAGTTCAGCCCTTCTGGCTAGAATGTGCTGTAAATACTTCAATTTCTGGCCATGGGCCACATGTGAAGGTGCTGGGAGGAGTGTTCAGCCCTCCTGGGTTGAATTGAGTGTAAACAAGAAGGTTGTAGCTGGCCAAGGAGCCTGTGGTTGCCCCAGGGAGGCTGTGGTTGCTCCAGGGAGAATGTGGATGCTCTAGGGAAGCTGTGGTTGTCTCAGGGAGGTCTTGGATGCCCCAAGGAGATTGTGGATGTCCCAGGGAGGTCATGGATGCCCCAAGGAAGTTGTAGATGTCTCTGGGAGGCTGTGAATGCCCCAACCCTGGCAGTGTTCATTCCAGATTGGATCAAGCCTTGAGCAATCTGGTCTGGTGGGAGGTGTCCCTGCCCAAGGCAGGGGGTTGGGGCTAGATGATCTCTGAGGTCCCAACCCTTAACATACTCTGGTACTCTAAGTGTTGCCATACCATGAGGACACCCCAAGCTCATCATTCTGTCCCCTCCCTCAGATCCCCCCCGGAATCCCACCCTCAGACTCTTCCAGGAGACCCAAGGTGGAAGGTTGACCATCATCCACTGTGCTGTGGACAGCCACCCACCAGCCACCATGGCCATCGACCACCATGGCACTGTGCTGGCAGCCAGTGGGTCACAGGTGGCCCCACAGCAGCGTTTCAGTGTCACAGCCACCCACAACTCCCTGCAGCTGGAGATCTGGGACGCAGGACCCCAGGACAATGGGGAATATCGCTGTACTGCCAGCAACACCTTTGGCAACACCAGTGCCACCAAGGTCCTTGTCATCCATGGTGAGCCCTGGTGCCAAGCTTACGGATTTTGAGTGATGAGGAACCCCCAGAGATGTTTCTGCAGGGTTGGAGTGACACAGCCCTGGGAGCTGGGGAGGCTTCATGGCACTGGGGGACATCAGGGTCTCAGGGGACATCAGTGGGGGGAGCAAGATGGTTAAGTTGAGTTGGTTGGACCCTCCCTGAGAGGTGGAGGGACCTCCATGGCACTGGGAGACACCAGGGTCTCAGGAGACTTTGTCTGGATGGACCCATGGGTGAAGTCTTCTAGCAGAGGCTTCCCTCCTGACATCCCTCTCCCGCCCCTTCTGCAGCTGCAGAGGTCCTGATCCAGCCCTCAGCGCAGGTTCAGGAGGGGACTGAGGTCACCCTGACCTGTGTGGGGACAGGGGACAGGGCGGAGGAGCCTCTCTACACCTGGTACAAGAATGGGAAGTGGCTGCAGGAGAGCTCAGCCCCTGCCCTGCACTTCCCCTCCGTCCGCAGCAATGATGCTGGAGCCTTCCAGTGCCAGATCCGGAGCAGCAATGGCAGTGACACCTCCATGGCCATCCCGCTCCGGGTGCTCTGTGAGTGCCCTTCTCTTCTCTTCTCTTCTCTTCTCTTCTCTTCTCTTCTCTTCTCTTGGCACTGGAAGGAGTTCCAATGTCTCACTGAGCTTTCTCCTCTCCAGGCTGGACATTCCCAGCTCTCCCAGCCTGCCTTCATGGCTCCAGAACCATGGAATGGTTTAGGTTGGAAGGCACCTTAAATCCCTCCCAGTGCCACTCAGTGCCACTTTTCACCAGCCCAAGTGGCTCCAAGGCCCATCCCACCTGGACGCTCAAGAACTGCTCAGATAGCACTGGGAAGCAGCAATAATCCCTTGGGTTCTGGGGGTTGTCTCAACCTCCTGGATCCAGAACATTCTCCCCAGTCATGTTTTCTCCCTGCAGACCCTCCAAGGCAGCCAGTGATGACCTCCTTCCTGCAGACCCAGGGTGGACACCTGGGCATCATTCAGTGCATTGTGGAGAGTGATCCAGAGTCCAACTTGACCCTATGGAAAGGAGAGGACATGATAGGTTGCACCTGGGGGTGTGCCTCAGCACCCAGCCCTAGGGTCCACATCACCTGGTCCTACAACAGCCTGAAGGTGGAGATCCAGGAGGTGGTGGTGGAAGATGAGGGGACCTATGTGTGTTGTGCTGGGAACACACAGGGAAACTCCAGTGCATCCATGGACTTCAGGGCTGACAGTGAGTGGGGAGATGTAGGGGGCAGGAGAGAGGATGATGGTGGCCATACATCCCTGTGGTGTCTGGGGACATCCTAGGAGAGGGGAGGGTGGGAAGGGAGTGCCAGGAAACTCAGGAGATGGTGGCAGGAGGACAGGAAGATCATGGCCACGGCCATGAAATTCAGGTGTCAAACAGTTTCTGCCTCAAAGACTGCCATGAACGAGTCCTCTGGTGGAATGTGTAGGGGTAAAGTGATGATTTCCAGCCCCTCCTGGTGGGTTTGGAGGTTCCTCCATGGCCACAACGAGAGTTCCAGCTGCTGGTGGGGACTCACTGCCTGTGTGTGACAGGGACATAAGGCAAAACCTGGCCAAGGGGGTTTCTGCAGGCCATAGATCCTCACCCCAGGCTGGTTGCACCTCACTCCTGCTCTCTATCTGTCTTTGGGGTGATTGTTCACCCCAACATTGATGCCGGACATCATTTGCCTCCTGCCCACAGCCGTCAGCATCACCGTGTCCCCCTCCCACCACCTGCTGGAAGGTGACACTGCCAACCTCACTTGTCACCTGAGCAGTGACTCCTCAACTGCGGCCAATGTCACCTGGTACCACAATGGGCTGTGGCTCTCCGAGGGCTTGGCCACCTCCCTGGTCATTGGACAAGTGGCCAGCACGGACTCAGGGCTCTACCGGTGCAGGGCCAGCATGGAAGGAGGCAGCAGGAGCTCTCCAGATGTTCTCCTGGATGTGCTGTGTATGTATGGTACCCTATAGGACATTCAGCTTGGTGTTTGTGGGATATACATTCCCTATATGGTATAGAACATATAGAGCAGCTTGTCAGGCACAGCTATAGCTGCTCCATCCCTGAGAGTGTTCCAGGCCAGGTTGGATGGGGCTTGGAGCAACTTAGGCTGGTGGGTGGTGTCCCTGGGTGGGACTGGGTGGGATTTAAGGTCCTTCCAACCCAACCCATTCCATGGTTCTGGAGCAGCTCTGCCCTGGAGCCAGGCTGGGAGAGCTGGGAATGTCCACCCTGGAGAAGAGAAGCTCCAGGAAGACCTTGGAGTCTCTTCCAGTGCCTGAAGAGCTCCAAGAGAGCTGGAGAAGGACTTGGGACAAGGAATGGAAGCGCATTTTTGTGGAATGCTTTCCCACTGCCAGAGGGCAGGGATAGGGGGGGTGTTGGGAAGGAATTTTTCCCTGTGAGGGTGGTGCAGGTTCTCTTCCCTCCCCAGATCCCCAAAGCACCATCTCTCTCCCTGAGCTCTCTCTCCCACCGGGATCACTCAAGCCATTCCCTCCCCACA